AGAGGAGAGGAGAGGAGAGGAGAGGAGAGGAGAGGAGAGGAGAGGAGAGGAGAGGAGAGGAGAGGAGATCAACCCATCCCCACCATGCCATTCATTTAACCAGTTCCCATGAATTTGTTTATAAAAGAATACACAATTTTCAGTCAGTACCTAATTCCTGCTGGTATTCTATTAGAGATGATTCAGAAGCAAATGCAGATAAAATCTAAATGCTGACTGTTGGCATTCTCATCTTTATGATGCAAACGTCCCTCCCTGTTCAGACTGAACTAAGAGAGTTGCTTCTTGTCACACAATAAGTCCTTCTCTGAAGACTTGCTATCCTAAGGTTTCCCCTGGACATTTGGGCAGGGATGAGACAAGTGCACAGCATTCAGATGAACTGATGGATTGAGGATGTCAGAAGGCTCCCTCAGTTCCTATCATTCCTACTCCCATGGGCAGCCAATGAGAATTTAGCTCCTACCTTTGTTCTTGCAGGCCAGTGACTGTTTTTTTGACAAAATGATGGGAGGTGAGACTGGAAAAAAAGAGTAGGAAGAAGAGCCCCATTACTCACTAGTTCACGGTGCCGTACCCCTTGGCTTTAGTAAATCCCACAGAAATGGCAACCACCAAGGCGGGGAGCCCTATGGAAAATGAAACAAGAGAAAATTGGTTATTTTAACATATGTGCAGCTCTGCTCCAACTCAACCACTTAATATACCCCATTTCTCCCTGTGTTATTCTAGCACCATCTGTCCAAGCCTGGGCCTTTGGCAGAGTCTGAATTGAGGACCTTCAGAGCCAGAAGCATGAACCTTTGTTACGTCTGCTAATGAAGTTAATGCTGTCAGCTGTAATCAGCTCGTATCCTGCTGTGGTCTCAGCAGTTGTGCAGGGAATGATAGTACATGCAGATGCATAAAATTCATTTATTTTATTCTTAGGGACGCAGAACAGCCAGGAATATACCAGGACATTTCTTGGGGGTGGAATATTCAGGCACCACTTAACCCAAAAGAACTAGCAAGGCAGAGATTAAAAGCTGTGTTTGCTCTTAACATAATATCTGAACAACTCAGGTTCAAATCTTGCTCCAAATGAGATAGAGCAGGAAATGGGAACAGTGTTCCCCCTCTGCAGCTATATCCCTGCATGCTGTGGATGCTCTATCCCTGGAGATGTTCAAGACCAGGTTGGATGGGGTCCTGGGCAATTTGGTCTAGTATCAGATCTGGAGGTTGGTGGCCCTGCCTGTGACAGGGGGTTGGAACTTGATGATCCTTGAGGCCCCTTCCAACTCAAGCTGTTCTATGATTCTACAATAATGGAGCAAGTCCCTCTTTCCCACAATGGAAAGAAGCATCTGAATATCAGGTCTTTCTGCAAACCAGAGTACTTACTTTACGCCAGAGAGCTGCTCCCCTTTTGCACCCAAAAGGGGAAACAAACTAAGGAAAAACAGTCACCTTGGAGAGAGGGCACACTTCATTATGAGTGCTACAAAGGATGAACAGTTTGTGCCTTGGAGGCTGTTTGATGCTTATGGTATGCAATTTATCTTCGTGATATCATGAGTTAACAATACCAGCATGGGGTCTCATTTCAGGTTCATAAGGGGATGAAGCTATGTCCTTGATCTTAATGCTAAAATCTCCAAAAAAATGACGGTGAGGAAGAAATATAACAAAAACCTGCTGGTTATCATGAAATGATGGATTGAAACTTAAAACTATTGATAGGGTTTGGTTTCTGAACACCTAGGCACAATTTGAACTAATAAAAGATGTTGTATCCTGTTAACAGCCTACTTATCCTTACTATTCCTGCCTGGTGTACTGCTCTAAGATCTACAGAGGAGATTGAGTACTTCTCTGATTCACTATCCCCAGCCTGGCTCTTTCCTTTCCCTATAAAAACGTCTGGGTGTGGTCTGGGAACATCTGGCTCTTCAGCTATGCAGGGCTCTGTGTGGCTTTTTATAGTCCTACTACTTGTAACACAAAGCATTAAGCTGTCTCAATGCTAAAGATGGGCAAATCCCATTAGGAATTAGCAGGCTCAGTAGCCAGCTAGGATTAGTGCTTTTTGACAAGACCCTAATTTGTGTGCTGTAGAGGTCATAGCAGGCAGCTGTAGAAGATGCTGTAGTCTGTAGGGCTTTCCAGACACAGTATCCAAACAACTCTGCTGACAGGGTGGTTACTCAGCAATATAGATTGATGCAAAGTTGATTAACTGTGAGGGTCAGCAGATAGTTGGGAGGTGTTAAGGCTGAGTAGTCTGGAAAAGAAAGAATTTCATAGAATCATTAAGGTTGGAAAAGAGCACTGAGATCATCTAGTCCAACCACCAACCCATCATCACCATGCCCACTAAACCATGCTCCTAAGTGCCACATCGCCACAGCTCAAGAACAACTTCAGGGATGAGGACTTCACTGATTGCCTAAGCAGCCTGTTCCAATTTGAGAGTTATCATAAAGAAAAGAGTTTCTCTTCCCATATGAGACATCCAAGCAGAGCTCATGTTTGAGCAGCCCAAAGTCATTGAGCAGGGGGGTTTCAGAATATCTCTTTTTAAAAAAGTTCTGTAATGACTATTTTCTATCTTGCTGAGCTTTCTTCACACCTCATCTGGATACTCTGGACATATAAACCTGCATGGTATTCGCTGTAATGACATCAGGGTGGCATCCCATGGTATGCACACTAAGAAGTCATAAAGGGCTTTTTTAAGAGTAGAACATGATGCATGAAGCTCCAGAAGGAAGAATGTCGGCTAAGACTCTGCCCAAAATAGCAACTTGTTCCTCGCAAAGTACTTCTCTTAGACGTGATAATTATGCAGAAATGCACACTTAGGCTGTGAACTCATCAGATGTACAAGCTGCATTTATCGGAGAGGGGAGCTACACGATGGTAGTTAAGCCAACGAGCAGAGCAGTGAGGACTGCTGTATCCTTTGCCTTGGGATGTGATCAGATTAAAAATGGACACATCCAAATATTTCCAATAAACTTTTAATCTATTCTTGACTATTTGAAAGAAACCGGATTGTGCCATACGCTGTGCGTGCTCTGTATCAGACCTCTGTGCAGTCACTCATGCCGTCAGTGGCCAAATTTGGAGGGGTTTGTGCAGAAAGTGAGTGCTACAGTCATAATTAAAAAAAAAAATAATAATAAAAAATGCATAGGAAACCTGATTTGAAGATTTTTTTCTGTCAGGACAGCAGGAGAATCACATAACGAGATCATCACGTCCCATTAGAAAAAGTTCATTTGATAATAATGACTACAAAAGCCATAAGTGTTACAAACAACTGAAGATCCTGTCAGAGCCTTAGCCAGGGCAACATTAAAAATGCAATTGAAACAATGGCATGGTCATAAATAGACTAACCAAATTGTTTCTTTTTCACTGGGACTAAATGTGCCGATTGATCTGTTTCTAGGGAACAGTTTGCATGTCTAAATAACTTTATATTTTTCTAATTGCAAAAAAAAACCCTCTTTTCTGAAAAGGCAAAATTGCACACACAAGAGGAGAACAGGAAACTGGGAGTAAACCTCACTGCTGATGAAAACCACAGCAACTTCAATGAGCTACAGCTGAGAACTTGGCAAAGTTCTCCCACAAGAGCTTGGAAAAATGTTAATAAGCAAAAGGGGGAGTGGGGGAGGATCAGCCCATTACAAAGTGAATTCACAGAATCACAGAATCACAAAGGTTCAAAAAGACCACTGGGATCATCTAACCCAACCATCAACTCATTGACTGTGATAATTATTTCAGATTATGCTCCTGAAAACTTATTTACGTCCTCTGCCCTCTTAGAGATGCCATTAATCCCAGCACTACAGCTGGGAAATCGAGCAGGATGCTAAATACCAGAAATTCCCTTGCTGCTTTAATAGGTGAGAGTGTTCTTCACTTTGTGTCCTAACCTATTCCAAATGGTTATTATGCACCATTTATCAGCCAGCGCATCCTAGCCCAAGAATAGCTACATTTTACTAACAGTGCAAATTATGCTCCTACACACACAGGCTTTTTTTTCCCTTGAATCTGTACAAATTACAATTATGAATGTCGCTCATCCAAAATTCCCTCGGCTAACACTCTCATCTGTCCCAGCATTTATAAATCAGATTGAAGAAAACATCCCTTTTTATTACCTTTATTACCTAGAGAAGCTGTCAGTCTTTTGCATTTGATATCCCTGATGTTCCTCCAGTCATACCTACAGTGTTTGTATTAGAACATATGCACAAGCACAGAAAAGCACACAGAGCCTGTGTTTTGCATGTGTGTGGTTACAGGCTTGTAATTTCAGTCCCACCATTTGTTTTGTTTCCTAAGCAAAACTTAAAGAGATGCAGGTGCTGGAAGGAGGATGACTCTTGATGTGCAAGAATAAATCACATCAGGGCCCTTCATAACCGTTGGAAATATCTTGCCTAGGGCGAAATGCTCGACTTCAGTAGTGAAATGAGCCACTAATGCAGCTTAGAAGTACAGTGCTCTCTGATTCTTTTTCTCTTTTTTCCTCTGCTTGCTTTTGAGCAACTTTTTGTTCAGTCGCTCCTTTCAAACACAAGCTTCACGTTGCTTTGAGAGCCCAGGTTACGGGTTTGCGTTTGTTTTCAACTACAGAATGCATCATTTAAAGCTAATAAATTAAACATACGGAAGAGGCAGAGGGAGGAAAATTAGTTACAAGCATCTGCACTGGTCTCATAGTTTATTTGTCTATGAAAGGCCCTGCTGCCATGGAGACAGTATTTCAGAGCTTGCTTCTCCCCGGGTCGCACATGGAAGGAGACAGTGAGAGAAAAATAAAAGAGAAGCAGGGAAGAAAGCCAGAGCCAGGAGAAACCCTCCAGCCCTCACTGTGCCCTTGGAATGAACATACAACCCCTTCCCAGCTCATCTCCTTCATATTGCTCTTGGGTGGAGATAGCAGCTTTTGGCTTTTGCTCATTTTCAACTATCTGAGTCCTTTTTTGACACACCTAAGGGTGTCAAACTAAGCATCAATCTGGAATACTCTTTGATCTTCATGCTAGGATGGAACAACGTGGTTGGTTTGTTTTTTTTTTCTCTCCCCTGGCCCAATGGAGCTTCTATGCAGACCCACAATCCTCACCCCATCCGAGACACAAGAAGCGCTTGCGGATGATGCGGTTCCGTAACCGACCCGTCACGGCCATGTAGGACTGCCAGGCCTCAGTCAGCACCCAGCAGAAAGAGGAGAGGAAGAAGAAGTGCAAGAAAGCCGCCACCAGCGTGCATACCACCTGGAGAGAGGAGGAAAGGAGCACATATGAGAGGGGAGAAAGAGCAGAGAGGAGAGAGGCAGGTGGAGGGAGCTGCTTCCGAATCGGGCTCTGGAAGGAAAGGTCACAGGGATCAGCAAAGGAAAAGACATCTCAGGAAGAGGCAGCCTCCCCCTCGAGCTTTGACCTAGCATAGAACTGAAATATTTGTTTCAAATTTAAGCATTGCACAGAAACTGACTGCCCTTAAGTGAGAGCTCCAAGCCTGTGGTTAACTATTTTCCTACAATGATAGAACATCCCGAGTTGGAAGGGACCCACAGGGATCACTGAGTCCAACTCCTGGCTCTACATAAACCACCCAAAA